GAGAGTGACAATAGAATGAACGATGATGGATATGAGAAGGATCATCCAGTGTCATCATTCAACCGCGGCCTATGTTGGGTCAAAGAAGTCGAAGGTATTCGTTAGGCCTTTCCTATGGTCGGAAGTGTACCAGTACGGTACCAGGTACCTAAATAGTGCGATACCTAACCTGGGTTGTCATTGTTTGTACTCAACGCCTCTTAGCAGGAACATAAACTAGCGATTACGCTGTTGAATGCTTCTCTCCAGACCAATTTCTAGATAGGTACCGGAAGCATGGTATCGATACAGCGTACTCCAGGGGTTACTACTAGCTCCTTTTGAATTCAAATTCTCCACACACGATGCAAGGTCACAGATCACAGAAAAGCTCGCAATCTTCCCAAAGGTTGTCAGCAACTTCCAACACTTGTAGTACAGCAGTTACAGACAAGGTCACAGTCCGCTTCGAAGGTTTTAAGGCTTGTATAGTCACACAGCAAGTTTTCCAATCCACCTGAAAAGTTGTTCGAAGAGAGGTATATCCCCGAGATACGCCGTCCCAACATATTCAAAGATGACGGCACACTCCCAGTCAAAATATTGTCAGTCAGGTTGACATTTCTTACGAGCTTGAGATTCGATAGCTCGGCTGGGATCGTTGACGTCAGTCGATTCGAACTCAGCTGCAACTTAAGCAAGTGTGATAGCCGTCCAAATTCACTGGGTATGGCATGGCTAATCCGATTGTCATTTAGGTAAAGCATCGAAAGGCCTTCTATAGCACCAATTTCGCTGGGGATGGTTCCAGTGAAAGCGTTTCTGTCGAGTCCCAACTGATTCAAATTCACTAGATTCCCAACCTCCGTTGGTATCGTCTTGCCGAATCGATTGCTGTGTGCATATACAAATTCAAGTGCACTGCAACTTCCAATCTCTGATGGAAGGAAATCTAGACGATTTTCACTCAATACCAAGGTTATTAATTGTGTCAAAGCACCAATTTCCGAGGGAACATGTCCAACCAAATAGGAGTTGTTATGCAAATTCACATTCAACAATCCGGTGAGTGAGAACAGTTCTGTCGGTATTGTCGAACTTAGAAAATTGTCCGAGAGACTCAGTCTAGTGAGACTCGTAGCTGTCCCCAAAAAGCTCGGTATTGCCGAGGAAAGTTGGTTTCCCGCAATGTCCAATGATTCGAGAAGGTGCATGTTCCCAATTTCAGTGGGTATGCTGGATTTAGCAAAGCTGTTGGCCGAGAGATCAAGCGATCGAATGGAGGTCCATCGGCCAATGGCAGTTGGTATTTGACCAGTGAACAAATTATTATTGAACGTTGCATGCTCCAAGTCTGCGAGCAAGCCAAGATGGCTCGGCAACGATCCTTTCATTCGGTTTTCGTCCAAAAAGAGTGAACGAAGCTTTGTGAGTTGCCCGAAGCTCGGGGTGGGCAACGACCCTGTCAATCGATTTCCCTCAAGGTGTAACTCTATCAAGTTGCTAAGATTCCCAATTTCTGCCGGTAGACTACCTTGGAGTCCTTTGGACCGAAAGTTCAAACTAATGACGGAACCATTCTCGTCACATTCAACAAATTCCCAGTCACAGTGAGATGTACTCGTCAGCCAGTTGTCTGATGAATCAAAGACCCAGCCTTCACCACGCAGATTGTAGTACATGGTGACAAGAGCGTGTC